GCAGGAAGATTATTGGATGATGAGTCAGGAGACCTGGATTCTATTCCCACCGGAGCAGAGCCTTCTCAGAAATCACCTGAGAAGATAGTTTCCTTTTATGATTTGAGATGTGCCAAAATATCTACCTGTCCTGAGGTTTCCACCATTAAAGTCATTTTAAGCATTAAGCATAAATGTCCAGGGGCTATGGTGTTTGTTACGTCTCTCTTAAAATGGAATTAGGGCCAAGAAGGGGAGAAGGGTCTTCCACCTAGAACTTGTGTCTGTGGGAGGTAAATGACCTGAAGAATGGACAGTAAACCAAGAAGAAAAGTTTCAGTAAAGAAGGGAGAGTGTTAGCTAAAGGCCCTGATGTCTTTGTTGTGTGTGTTGAGGGAAGGGTAAGTGGAATGGAGGCTGATGTGGGTTATATTGAGGAACCTGGAGGGGAATATAAACTTTATGGTGATGGCCTATCGGGGGGTTGAGTCCAGGACACTAATCTCCTTTACGTGTTCTCCCAGGATGGGCTGTGTATACAGCCAAGGCCCACCTGGAAGATGGGTTTTCTATAGACACTGTCCTAACCTAGACTGGCCCAGTTAGCTTGAATGAGTTAAACGGCAGTTCACTTCCACTCAACACGTATGTAGTACACAACAAACAGTGCTGTAACTCCATGACAGAATGAAACCAGATCCTTCAAATCTCCTGGGGCCATTCGATCGGAGAACCTACCCTAGAGAAATATTCAGGCCAATTTCCCATGCCACTGTTGGTCTTGGGGCATTTCACACATTGGAATATGTAAAGAGGAACAATTTGCTATAAAGACAAATGTTTTAAAGTCACTAGTAACACATTTACCAAAGTATTAATCTATAATAATTCCTTACAAATCCCTTCCCTTCTATACACAACAAAAAACATTCCCCAGTGCAGAAATGATTTTCATGTTGAACAAACTCCTGAAAAACACATTTGTAAAACAAGAATTCAATAAACCTGAAATTTAACTTCTATAACTCTCATAAGCTTAACCTGTCCATGGAAGGAGACATCTTATCTATAGTTTATCCTTAAGTGGCACTGACTTTATAGTAAAAATTTCTGGGTCAGCTGTGACATTGAGCCAGAACAGGTCTGGGAAGGAGCGACTCGCATCTTCAGATGCTGGGCCTCTCCTTCCCTAGTTCCATGTTCTCCATGGGTTAATGGGGCCATTGTCACTGCACCCTTATCACATCATCACCCACATCATCTTTTCTAGCCTATCTGTGCAGTATGGAAATCCCTTCTGTCATCATTACTGCTGACATAAAATAGGATTTTTAAAAAGATTCTTTGGCTAAGACCACCACCCAGAAGCAGAGAAATGAATCTTAGTTTTAACTAAAATTGACCAAAGCAGGAATACTGTGCATATTTACTGGTTCTTATCTAATAGCCTCCCCTGAGCCTTGCTTCTATATCTACTTTGTAGACCTTTGGCAATTCTCCCTAAGAGGAAGTATAGTCAGCGGTTCAGAGCCAGGGCTCTGAAGCCAGACCACTGGGATGATATCCAAGCTCCACCATTTCTGTAGTAGCTGTGTGTCCTTGAGCATGTTACTTAACTTCTCTGTGCTTTGTTTCCTTACTGGCAAGCAGGAGGTAACAAGAGTATCTACATCTTATAGGGTCATTGTGAGAATTAAATGAGTAAATAATGTAAAGTGCTTAGTACAGTACCTGACACATAATAGGTGCTCAACAAATGTCAGTAATTATTATTCCTCTCATACAAGTGACGGTTAATGGAACACTTTTCTGTAGGAAAAATAAACTCTCACACTTCCATAAATATAGATTAGCACATTTGATATAGATCCAATCACAACTTTCAAAGTCCCTGTTCAGTAAGCTT